GCACAGGGGTGGGGCCTCCAGAGACCAGGGATTTACACTATTCACATACATCCATGCCTACACAAAGGACAAATACACACACATTAAAAGTGCATGTGACTTGCCAGACATACCTTCAATCCCAGCATTCCAGAGGCAGAAGTAAGCAGATCTCTGTGAGTTCAAGGCCAGCCTGGGCTACAAGAGCTGGTTCCAGGATAGACTCCAAAGCTACAGAAAAACCCTGTCTCAAAACAAAAACAAAAACAAAACCAACAATCCAAAAAAAGGAGGAAAGGGGGGCTGGTGAGATGGCTCAGTGGTTAAGAGCACTGACTGCTCCTCTGTGGACCTGGGTTCAATTCCCAGCACCCACATGGCAGCTCAGAGCTGTCTGTAGCTCCAGTTCAAGAGAATCTGACATCATTATACCAATGCGCATGAAATAAAGTTAAATAAAGTTAAAAAAAAAAAAAGGCCACGAATTTGAAAGAGTAAAGGGTGAAATCTGGGAGGGTTGGAGGAAGGCGAAGGAAGAAGACATGCTCTAACTATATCATAATCACAAAAATAAAATAAAAAATGGAAAACAGCAACAGAAAGAATCCCAGTGCTTCATGAACTGCCTTGCTCAGGCGGGGGTCAGGGAGGAGGGGGACGAGGGGGAGGGGCGGGCGGGGGAGGGGAGGCGCTCGCTGCTGTGCAGGCAAGAGACTCCCTCCCCGTGCTCCTCTGTCTAGCATGACTCCCCTCCCTCGCTGAGCAGAGCCTGTCACCCTAAACCAGGCCTGCGGGCCTCAGTAAGTGAACCTAGGAAGAGTCCACGCTGCGAGGCCCCTCCCACTTTGCCCTGTGTAAATGGAACTGCAGAAAGCCCAGCATGAAAAATTAATTCAAGAGCCCAGGGAGGGAGAGAACGGCAGGAGGCGGGGCCTGGGCCTCTGCCAAACTGGACCCTGGGCAGGAGCAGGTGCCCTGCACAAGGGTGAGACAGTCAAGGTGTGGGCAGTGTTGGGCAGCATGGAGGCCAGGAAGGGGCTGGCTACAGGGGTTGGCAGGACAGAGATCTGAACCTTTGCCTGAGTTGTGGGGCTGGAGAGCATCTCTGGAAGTGTGAAGTCCCGGGGTTTTCTGGTCTCCCTGAAGGGCTGTGAAAGGCCAGCCCTTGGCCACAGTTCTGTCCAGCTGTTCCCAGTTCCCAGGGCTCTGGGCCATCAGCGGGGGAACACCCACCCCTGACAAGCCTGTGCCAGCTCACACCACCAGCTTCAGCGCTCCTGGGCACCCAGCCTGGCCCACATGCTGGTTGCCATGGCAGTAGGCAGCAAGCTGGCAGGAGACCCAGGTTGGGCTAATCTAGACTGGGGTGGGGATTTATCTGGTTCTGGGTACTATTAACACTTTCAGGACAGGTTTGGGGACTAGGGCAGAGAGGCCCTTTAGTAGTCAGGGAGACCCATCCCCCAGCAGTCAGAGAGAGATTTCCTAAGAGCTAGGTGTGTGGTGAGTACCTTGAGTCTGGGGGCCTCCAGGGTACTCTCTGCCCATGGACTCTCATGGAGAAGGGCATCAACTCAGACCCTAGCCTTGCCATAGCCAGGCTAACAGCTGAGGTGACCCTTGCCTTTCAGACTCAGGTTAGAATGGCCCCCTGCTGGGTCCCCTCACAGTGTGCTGTTCTCTGAAGTAGGGGTTGGGGCATTGCTCACCCCAGTGGCCTCTCAGAGTCCCCAGAGGTGCTCCTCTGCCAAGACATACATCAGGCGGTCATCTGACATTGGGGCCCAGACCTGGTGCAGTAGCGTCAGGCAGGCACACACTGGGCATATCGTCCTCCCCTTTGGGTCTAGCTGGCTCAGGGTAGATAGATGGACTCCTAGAGGACATTCCCAGGGTGCAGCCTGGACAGGTCACGGTGTCAGACACATACACGGACCCAAGATAAGAGGTGTGCAAGCCGGGCAGTGGTGGCCCACGCCTTTAATCCCAGCACTTGGGAGGTGGAGGCAGGTGGATCTCTGTGAGTTTGAGGTCATCTGGCCTATATGTAGAGCGAGTTCCAGGACAGCTAGGGCTGCTACACAGAAACCCTGTCTTGAAAAACCAAAAAAATAAAAATAAAGGGTATGCATTGGGGCTGGAGAGATGGCTCGGTGGTTAAGAGCATTGGCTACTCTTCCAAAGGACCCAGGTTCAATTCCCAGCACCCATATGGCAGCTCACAACTGTCTGCAACTCTAGTTCCAATGGCTCCAACTTTTTCACGCAGGCCAAATACGCATAAAAATTAAATGAATAAATAAATAAAAAGAAGGAAAAAAGAAAGGTGTGTTTTTTATCATCTCGGTACCCTGAAGATGGACCAGAGGATCAAGCCTGCCGTAGACTTGTGTGTAGCTGGAATCTGATCTAAACCCTGAATAGGGGAGCCTTTAAGTGGATTATGCCAGCATCCATAAGAGGGTTCTGAGCTGGCCTCTGGGGCAGCATCTTCAGAGGCTGGGCTGGCTCACCAGGTGACTACAGTGACTCAGCCCAGCCCCTCTCCCTGTGAACCTTCACACGCACCAACACGGACACGTTCGCTACCCATCCTGACCACAGCAGTTCAACTTCCCACAGACCCGCAGCTCCTAACACAGGGACAAGACCCAACATCAGTCGGACACCTAGGCATCACCGACTCCGAGACAGAACCCCTGATGGGATCTGGAACTGAGAGACACCCTTTGGAGACCGCAGTGGAGGTCTGGACGGTGAGACCCAAGAGAGCTGCCTCCCTCCAAGGAGACCCTCCTCACGCACCCTGGAGCCCAGCAGGCCCTCATCATCACACAAACGTCAATGCCAATAGCTCTGCTCCACCTGAGGCTGTTGGGGGAGTGTCCCCAAACCGAGCAGCCACCTACACTCCTGCTCTGTTATCAGGAGACTGTCCAGAGCCAGGCCACTTAGTGCCTGGCGGCCAGACCTCCTCCCGCTAGGCACCTGATGCCGGTGAACCCTGCCAGCACCAGTCAGGCTAATGAAGCTGTTATGCCAATCAGAGGGACTAGACACCCAGGGCTCCTCTGCAGCCTGGCTGGGCCACACTGAGCACAGCTCTCAGCAGTCCCCAGTCCCCGTCACAGACCAGCAGAACTAGCCCCTGGGACCCGACTGAAGTGGAACTGCTCCAAGCTGGGGACACGTCTCCGCATGGACATAGCCTGGACATCACGTCACCTAGGACTGTCTCTAGGGCAGTACCGGCACACGGCCTGACCACACTTTCAGTTGGTGCCTCATCCAGGGGTGTGGTCACAGGGGAGAGTGTGCACACGCTCTGTCGTGAGTCCGACCCTGAGCTCTCCGTTGATGCCAGTTCCCTTTCTTCTTCCTCAGTGTTGCCATGTGCTGGATGGCTCTGCCTCACCCTCTGCATGCTCCGCCTGCCCCTGTATGAGTCCCCGACCACGGTCACTTGAGGGTGAAGAGCCCAGGAGGATGACAGGACTGGGGCCGTGGCCGGAACCGCTCCACATCCTCCTATGACTGACCCCCAGGAAGGCCTTCACATGCTGTCGTGGGCTTCCCAGTCCACAACAGTCATGCCCCGTTATGAGGAAGAAGACACCAGTTCTGGCTCAGGCCCAGGACAGGCAGCTCCAGTTCCCTGCTTGGCTCTGGTCCCCTGAGGCAGGTGTAGCACACAGGACCGTGGGTAAAGCTAAGCAGGGCCACTGACGCTCTCCAAGGTTCCTCAGACGCCGGATGGAGAGGGTGCAGCCAGGGGGTCCCAGGGTGAAAAGGAGCCAGGGGTCATGGGTGGCCAGCTTCCAGAATCTGAACAAGTGCACGCCCCATCTCCCCTCTTGGATTCCATGCGGCACTTTTGGAAATATGGGGGAGACTGTGCCCCACACAGCCCCCTGTTCTCAAGTCTGTAAAGGCCACAAGTCAAGCCCACATCCCCTCTGATCTAAGCAGCAGTAATGGGGTCCCCAGATCTGCTGAAGGCCCTTGAAGCTAGATCACCCTGAGCCCCCTGCACAGAAGGGAAAAACATCACACCCCAATAGTTGGCAGAGTACATAGGAACCCTGGTACACCTGGTTCTTTGCCTGCTACAGGGGTATGTTCCCGCACAAGGCAGTCCTGAATGTGAGCATCACATGGTCTCCCTAGTGTACCATCTGAGGCTGCTCTTTCCAAACCTAGAGGACCAGGAACATCAGGGCACAATGCCTGTCTCCACGCTGCCATCCCTGGTCAAGGTCAGGGTGTCCCAGCCTTACTACTGGTCTTTCCACCCTTCCAGCTGTCTTCTAGCCCACGGACAGGGACAGCGTCAGACCCAGGGCCGCACAGGAGGGTAGGAACCACGGGCCAGGATGGGGCTGCATGCTACAGGGGGCCTTCCTGCTCCTGGCAGCAGGAATCAGAGATGCAGTAATTGGATCCTGCAGAGGATCCGGCTGAGGGTGGAGGGCTGAGATCAGGTTGCCGCCCTGCTGTGAGTTTTCCACTGGCTGCTTTTTCTGCCTTGGGAAAGAGCTGGGCTGGACTGGGGGTCTGAGCTGGGGGGTGGAAGGCCCTGAAGCAAGAGGCAGTAAGAAAAGAAGCTAAGAGGAGTGGGACCCACAAGATAGGATATAGGACCTAGGCGGCCGTGGGTGAGGACAAGGAGGTGGTCAGTCTTGCTCTTGTCCTCTTGGGCTTCAGGCTCTGGCCCTGGTGCTCTCCAGGAGCCTCTGAAATCCAAGCTGCGGGTAAAAGCAAGAGGCTACTCCTTCTAGCTGGTACGTCTCTGATCCGCCCCCCTCACCCGCCCTCGGCTGCCCACTGGCCATGTAAGATCTGCCTGGGTGGCCAAGGCCACAAGACAGAGGCAGCGTTGGAGCAGGTAGTATCCATGTCACTGGCTAGGCTTGGGGGCCAAGGGCCAGCTAAACAGAGCTGGGCCTCTGGGGGGCCACAGGGCCCCTGAACACTTAGAGAGAGCGTCCCAGGCCCCTGAAGCAACGTGACTAGCCTCGAAGATGCCAACCAACGGGCTGCACCAGGTGCTGAAGATCCAGTTTGGCCTCGTCAACGATGCCAACCGCTATCTGACAGCAGAGAGCTTTGGGTTCAAGGTCAACGCTTCAGCGTCCAGCCTCAAGAGGAAGCAGACATGGGTCCTGGAGCCTGACCCAGGGCAGGGCACCGCTGTGCTGTTCCGCAGCAGCCACCTGGGCCGCTACCTGTCGGCAGAAGAAGACGGGCGTGTGGCCTGTGAGATGGATCGGCCAGGCCGTGACTGCCGCTTCCTGGTCTTGCCGCAGCCTGACGGGCGCTGGGTACTGCAGTCGGAGCCGCACGGCCGCTTCTTTGGAGGAACGGAGGACCAACTGTCCTGCTTTGCGACGGCGATCTCCCCGGCAGAGCTGTGGACTGTGCACCTGGCCATCCACCCACAGGCTCACTTGCTGAGCGTGAGCCGTCGGCGCTACGTGCACCTGTGTCTGCAGGAGGACGAGATGGCGGCCGATGGTGACATGCCGTGGGGTGTGGATGCGCTGCTCACCCTCATTTTCCAGAGTAGGCGGTACTGCCTCAAGTCCTACGACAGCCGCTACCTGCGCAGCGATGGCCACCTTGTCTGGGAGCCCGAAGCCCGTGCCTGCTACACGCTAGAGTTTAAGGCGGGCAAGCTGGCCTTCAAGGACTGCGATGGCCGCTACCTGGCACCTGTGGGACCTGCCGGCACACTCAAGGCTGGCCGCAACACGAGGCCCGGCAAGGATGAACTCTTCGACCTGGAGCAAAGTCACCCGCAGGTGGTGCTGGTGGCTGCCAACCACCGCTACGTCTCTGTGAGGCAAGGTAGGGTGCATCCGTGTGCAGCTGACATTGTGTTGTGTGCCACACGTGTGTGCCATGTGTGCTGGGTTGTGTGTGTGTATCCGTGTGTAGCTGACATTGTGTTGTGTGTGCCACGTGTGCTGGGTTGTGTGTGTGTATCCCTGTGCAGCTGACATTGTGCTGTGTGTCACACGTGATGGGTTGTGTGTGTCTGTGTGCAGCTGACATTGTGTTGTGTGTGTATCACATGTCCTGTGGTGGGTGTGTGTCCACTGGAGATGGGTGTTTCCACAGACAGGGTAAGCTCACAAGCCCGCTGAGGGCTGCTGGCTCCAGGAGAGCTCATCACTCTCTGGACGCCTGGCGAATGCCCGCTGCCCGCTGGGCTGCCGCTGTCTCTAAGACTGGAGGGGTGCGGTGAGGCATCAGCAGAGTCTGAGGGCAGTGGAAAGGTCGAAGAGGCTGGGGAGGCCCCACTCTTTTTTGCTCTTCTGCTGCCCCCCTTTCTGCTCTTTGGGGGAGATAAGGGAGGGGCCAGGGCAGGGCAAGGATGACTCTCATATGCCTTACCAATGGGAACCTTGTGGTGCCCCAAGAGTGGGAGAGTTCATGGTTATCTTCAGTGTTAATAGACACAAGCCAAGGCAACCTTGCCCGGGACCTGGGCTTCTAGGGCAAAGGCGCCATCTCCACCTGTGGGGTGTGGCTTGGCCACTGGTCACTTGTGTGACACCTGAGTAGTTTGGGGTAAACACGGTGTTCCTACTGCCCCAGGAGGAAGCCAGAGGTCTGAGAGGCCCTAGGCTACCGGCATAACACTTGTCCAGGCCAGAAAGTAGAATTGTTTCCATCATGGGTTCTGAGCTCATGCACCCCAAGTACTGAGACACACCCTGACCTGAGAGCTCTCTATAAGCTCAAAGGAGGATGTGAGGCAGGGAATGCCCATCCCTATTTGCTGAGACCCCTTTCATGACAGCACTTGCCAGAGAAAGGGCAGCGCCCATGAGCCGATCAATCACACCACTGCTATAGTATGCAGATAACCTGTCTCTTCGGGCACCTTATGACCACCCATGTGAGAGGCCAGCCTGCCGAGGCCCTCTGGATGCAGTCATGGCTTTCAGGCCAGTCTGGAGCAATGGCAGACATAGTCACCAGCATGTGGCCCTCTTCCCCAATACCAGTCCCGCTGTCCAGCCGCACCATCTGGCCCGGAGGAGGAGGAGGAGGAGGAGGAGGAGGAGGAGGAGGAGGAGGAGGCGGCAGACATGGATATGGATGGATTGTAACAGAGACCCCGGAAGGAGGGTGCCAACGGTAGTGTCAACACTGATGGCTGTGCTGTGGGGTTGGTGGTGCTATTCATGGTGACGGAGGGTGAAAGTGGTAGAGATGGGATGGAGATGGTGGAGGTGAAAACGGTGATGGGGGAAATGGTAGAGGGCTGGAGATAGTGATGGAGATGGTGGTAGTAATGGCGACTGTAATGACGGCATTAGGAGCTGTGATGGAGATGGTGGAGGCTCGGGAGGTGGTGGTGGTGGTGGTGGTGGTGGTGGAGGTGGAGGAGGTGG